CGCGGCGGCGCCGCCGAAACAAAGTAGCCCCGTGCGCGGTTCTCCTCGAAACTTTGTTTTCTCGCCCTTTGCCGTATGGCGCTTTCTTCCCGAACGCAGGTGTGCACGGTTTTCCTGCTTTCTTACCTCGTGTTGCCGTTTTCTGTCTCACCCTCTCCCTCTTTAAATCTCGGGAAAGTTTCAAGGAGATCAAAGCCCTTCTGTGTCTCTGGGCTCTGCTCGGCACGTTCAATGTGCAGGAGCCAGTGTCCTGCTGTCCAAACGGGGAAAGTCCCTCCTGCTGTGCATTTTCTTCAGGTGTGTTAAAGACCTAACAAAACTTATTTTTCCCAAACTTCTATAAAATGTTTACCCATGTCTTTATCTTTCTGCAGGGATTATTGCTAGCTAGTTCTAATACTCGTCTTTTTAACAGGTTTTTAAAGTGAAGTACACTATCCCCTACTAGCTCTGCCTGTGGGCAAGCATGGCTCCGTTAAAGGTGCACGGACCTGTCCGGATGCGCAGCATGCAGACTGGGATTACAAAATGGAAAGAAGGGAGCTTTGAAATTGTGGAGAAGGACAACAAAGTGAGTCTAGTGGTTCACTACAATGTTGGAGGAATTCCAAAGACATTTCAGGTACACCAAATATTCGGGCTTTTGTTTGAACAGTGCGTAGATTGTGTCCTTTTGTGAACAGCTGTTCTCTTTGAGTCTATTAAGAGTCACATAAACTTCCCTCTGTCACTGTTTCTTGTTCCCCATTTCCTGAACACTAATCCTGTTGTATAACTCCCCTGCGAATTATTCAGGTGTGTTGTTAAAGGATCTGCTGAGGTCAGCACAGAGCATACGATTGAATAGAAAGAAGTGAAAAAGAGGGGAAAGATCACCAAATTATTCAGTATCTTGTCTCACGTGTTTAGATTTTTGGGACATGTAGCCTTTCTCTTACTGATAGGTTTGCAGGATGTGGAGGTGAAGCTCCATGTAAGCCTTAAGGGATGCACCTGTGCTAGAAGCTCTCCCAGCTGAAGAATATCAGTGTTAAAGTACTTGCAGCTTTTCTGTTTGTTTATGCAAGACTGTTGTACTAGATGCATCTTACAGTCCTGCCCAGTTTTAGGTCTCAGCTGTGCCAGACAATGTGTTTTCCTTACTGCGGAATTGATGTAGATCAGTGTTACGGATTCTCTTCCAATGTTTAGCCTAAGCACTTTTTTTTTTCTTTTCATCCTTTCATTTTATAGTAGTCAAGTTGTATTTTTCATGTCACTTCTCCTAGGTTTTTCTTTTATTTAAGAAGTAACTATCTAATTTAAAAAAAGGAAAGGAGTAGTTTAAAAAAAAAAATCCATATCAGTTATTGTGTTGTAACAGCCTTAACTGACCTAAGTTTTGGCTTCCGCTTTTTCT